AGCATACAATCACATGGAGCTTATGGCAAAGGAGTTCTGTAATGGTCAGCAGGCAACGGTTGGCATAACCTGCCCAAAGGAGACAAAGCTGGGGGTCTGGTGATGGGAACGTTACTGTAATTACACATAGGTATTGATTCTTAGGTCAGGCAGGTAACTAAGATGAAAGTTTTAAACAAAATGGAGTAAGCTGGTTAATATTATTATTTTGCTAACAATTTGATTTTATTAACTGATTTAGCTCATTTCAATAGTGTCATATTTGTACATCATTTGTACCACAAGGATTACATTTTTCTTACTCATAATGAATTATGAAACTGTATGAATAGTGGGTGTTGAACCATGAAGCTTGAGGATATCCAAGAATACAAACATTCACTGGAAGAGTTTATGTTTATTTTACAAGTATATTAACTGCAAACAAGATAATAGCTATAATGTCTAAGGAATTAAGACTGGACAGTAGTGATTTGTTGTAGGCTTTGGCTGCAGTATGAAGTTGATCTCTGTAGCTAAAGATAATCCCTGAATCCTAGAGGGGCTGTAGAAAATACATAAGGCAGAAATTGTACTTAGATTTTTAAAAATTTAGCAAAACTACCCATGTACAGTATGGAGAAAACAGGCTTAGCAGCAGTGCACATGAAAAAGACTAAAGGGATTTAGGCAGCATAAGTCAACAGTGTGAAATAAATTCTAAAATGGTTTTCATCTTAAGCTGTATTATAATAACTAGAACAAGGAAAGCAATAATTTACTTTATTCTGTGCTGACCATTCTAGAATTCAGATCTAGGGATATAGTCAAACTGGAACACATTTAGAGAAGAGCAACTAGCATGGTGGGAGACTTTTTATATGGGGAATGGCTGAAGAAACAAGATGCATACGAATTTGAGAAAAGAAGACTTGGACACAATAGCTATCATAGGATGTTTTCAATTGTAAGTAAAAAAAGAATCCAAATCAAAATGTTCTTAATAACAAAGGTAATTTTATGGGCTTGAGTACCTCAAAAATTCAGAGGCAGATTGCATTTTAGGTGAAGTTCAAGTCTGCATCCTATTTAATCTTTCTATATTGTTTTCTACAGCGTTGGCCACAACTGGCTGCTACATGCCCCTCCTCTGTGACATGATGTCTGATGGTCTGCTAGCTATAATCAGGGCTGTGTGTTCCTTCTTTCATAGCAAGTGAGGGTCAGAAAAACCTTCCTTGATAGCTCCATGGGAGAAAGAGGAATCTTCTTTCCCCCAAATCTCTAGGAAGTACCTCTTGTATCTAATTGGTTAGAGTAGTGACACATGCCATCTCTGAACAAATTATAGTGGCCATAGGATGTGCACAATGTAGCGTAGCTAATCAAAAATCTACCACTTGAGCTGAGATACTATATCTGCCAGGTTTCTCCAGAGGAACACAGCCAGTAGGGGATATATACATATACATATACAGAGGATGCCAAAAAAAGTATACACATTTTAAGAAAGGAAAAAAAATGTACTAAAATTGAGATACTCAATATATACCAATAACAGAAGATGAATACAAGTCACATTTGACTTCTCTAATTACAAGAGGTGCTCAAAGTGGTTGCTATCAGTGTCCAGACACTTCTGATTATGGCAAACTAAAAGTAATATATCAATAACATCTCTTAAAATGTGTATAATTTTTTTGGCACCCCTGGTACATGATATATATGATATCTTATATATAAATATATATGATGTGTACATACACACACATATATATATAAATTTATTTCAAGGAATTGGCGCATGTGATTATAGGCTCTAGAATGTGTGAAATTTGTAGGACATGCCGGCAGGCTAGAAACTCTCTGGTAGAAGCTGATGTTGCAGTCTTGAGACATAATTTCTTCATCCTCTGGGGAGCTTCAGCTTTCACTCTTCAGGTCTTTCAGCTGATTGGATCAGGCATACCTACATTATTGAAGGTAATAGACTTTGCTTAAAAACAAGTGATTGTAGATGTTAATCCCATCTACAAAATACTTTCACAGCAACACCTAAATTACTGTTTGATTAAATAACTGGATACTATAGCCAAGTTGACACATAAACCATCATGGATATGATGAGTCTCTCCCAAAATATGTGACTGAAATTTTGAGGTCTTCTTGGAACAGAGATTGGCAGCTAAGAGGTATCCAACAAGTATCCTTCATAGTAGCTAACAGTAGATACATGGACCGGGTGCAGTGGCTCACATCTATAATCCTAGCACTTTGGGAGGCCGAGGTGAGAGGATTACCTGAACCCACGAGTTCGAGACCAGTCTGGGCAATTTGGCAAGACTTCATCTCTACAATAAATCAAAAAATTAGCTGGGCATGGTGGTGCATGCCTGTAGTTCCAGCTACGTGGAAGGCTGAGGCAGAAGGATCACCTGAACCCAGCAGGTCGAGGCTCTGCTGACTGTGAGTGTGTCATTGCACTCTAGCCTGGGTGACAGAGTGAGTCTGCAACTAAAAACAAAAACAAAAAAACAGTAGACACATGAAAGGCCACTCTGTGGAATAAGTTTTCAACTTGTTTTGCATAGAGGAATACTAGGGACAATAGCTATAGAAATAGTGACGAAACAGCTATCAACTAAAAAATGACTATTTCACAAGTTAGTAGTGTAGTAGTGAGTTTTTATTACTAAGAATACTCAAACACGAGCTAGATGATTATGGTACAAGACCTCAAATTAAGGCCCAATATTATATGCTTCTTGACATCTAGGGAAATAGCATTTTGCTCAAGTGGACTTCAGTGATAAGAAGTATAATTTTATTTTGCTCTTGTTGTTGTTGTTGAGTCAGGCTCTCACTCTGTCACTCAGGCTGGAGTGCAGTGGCACAAGCATGCCTCATTGCAGCTTCAACTTCCTGGACTCAGGCAATTCTTCCACCTCAGCCTCACCAGTAGCCAAGTCTACAGATAGGCCCCACCACTCCTGGCTAGTTTTTAAAATTTTTTTTGAGACCAGGTCTTTCTCTGTTGCACAAATTGGTCTCAAACTCCTGGGCTTCCACCTCGGGCTCCTAAAGTGCTGGGATTACAGGCATGAGTCACCATGCCTGGCCTTATTTTACTCTTATGTTAATATTGAATAGTAGCTGAGATAGCATATCTGTCAGGATTCTCCAGAGAAGCAGAACCAGCGGGAGATTGATATATGTGTATACATACACACACACATATATATATGCACACACACACACATATATATATAAAATCTTATATATAATATATACATGTCTTATTTATAGTTATATGTGATATATATTTTTAATATATATAAAGATATAAATTTTTTCTCATGGCCTAACCGCAAGTTCCCCTTCCCACTGGATTACTGCAGACAAGGTTCCCTAGCCAAACAACCCTCTTTATCGAAGGTTCAGTTCCCTGTCAACCTGAGAATTATTCAGATAAGCTAATCACACACTCTCGTGGGAACCAGTGGGCACCTCAACCTCTTGAAACTACAAAACTTGCTTCTCATAGCCCCTGGTTGACCAGTCGGTTCCTGAGTGCAGCCCCCATGTGGGCCTGCATGGCATGTGATATCTTCTTCCCCAGGGCCATGAGGGGAATAGATGGTAAAATATGTATTTGTTCCATCTATCCAGTGTTGGACGTCCTGTGTTTGGCCATCTTCATAACCTTAGAACAGGACTCCCTCCTTCAGGGATGGGGTGAATAGGAGGTAATTAAAACAATGTCTTTCTTCCTGGCTCCCTCCCCCAGCAGCTATGTTGGTTCAGAGGAAAATTCAAATATCAGTTAAGTAATTGTCAGAAATGACTTGTGGGTTGCCTTTCAATACCACGTTTCTGTTATTTCTCTATTTCCCATGCTAGTTTTGGCATTCTTATTTTACAAATAAAAGCAGGGCAATTTGTTCATCTTTCTATTATTAGCACCCATCAAATTGTTTTGTAAACTATTTATACAGTTCTTCCTCTCAGCTCAAAACACAGAAAGCCAGCCTTTATTAAACTTTATATACTTCTGAATAGCATAATGCCTATTGCATAGCAGAGGTTCAATAAATACCTGTTGAGTGAATCTGAAAATTACTTTATCCCTTGGAATTTGATACAAAAAAATACCAATGTGCTATGAAAATTACCTTAAACAGCATAAAATAAGTAAATATCATAAATGTAAATTCCCCCACACGGTTGAAATCCAGACTCATTCCACCCACCCTTAGACAGAGGGAATGAGGTCTTGAGAGTGTTGCCCAGTTTTTCTCTTCTCATTCCCCTTCCAAAGTGCTTGCCAGTTTCCCTAAGGCTTCTGAAGAACCCTGAAGGCAGCATCTCACTTTGTGTAGAAGGAGGATTCGTATAGTTGTAAGGTGATCCTAACTCCTTGCCTGTCTGCTGATTCTGAATGCTCCATTCACTTCAAAATCCCTGCTGAGAGCTAAAACATTGCTTCTGCAAGAAGGCATTTATTTTAGTCTTAGTTTTATTCCTCAAGTGTGTAGCTACGTAGCACCCCTATCCTATATTATGGGAAAAACATGTAGAAAGCTAAAATGGTTGGCTTGAACATATTTGACATATCTCTTTTTCTGTGATTTCTGTTTAGTTACTGTTTTTAAATTGGCTTACTCATTACATTATACATTTGTTAGAATGACATGTGCTTCTTTTCCCTACCCATAGATTTAAGAATTTTTTAAAGAAATTCTAAGAATCATTTGGAAAAAAAATGAAAGTCCTAGACTGACAAAGGAATTTTTCTAGCATTAAATTTTATTTACTACCAATAATAAAATTACATTATACCAACTCTGGTATTTGAAACCAAATGTATAGTTTCCATATCCTTGTGTCTTTCTATAGTGCTAAGCATGTGGTTGACATTCAATAAATAATAATAGAATGTGTTCCCTTCCATTGATCACAGACTTTAAGAAAGACTTTAATATAACCAAAGTGTTTTCTCTGTCTCCTGGGTTTATTCACAGTAAACAGATCCAAGCTATGCTAGGTCAGTTCAGCCAGGCAGAAGCCTTATTAATGAAAGCTGGTGTCCAGCCAGGGACTTGTGATGGAGCTGTTTTGGATCTTGGGTGTTCCTCCATGCAACTTGATGCTCCTGAAAGAGGTTTTTCCCTTCGGAAAGATGGCCCCTTGGACATGAGGATGGATGATGACAGGTGAGTATTGATAAAGCATTTCTCCTCACAACAAGAAATCAATTTCTCAAAAACAGTCTGAATTTATATTCCTTTTAAGATTGCAGAATTCCCATCACACACCCACACCTAACACTTCCCATACATAATAAATCAGTTTGTTTGCTACTCATTATAGACTTCAGTATTTCTCTGGATTGGGGATTTTAAAAGATTTTACTGTGTTTACACAAAATAGGGGGATAACTTTCATTACTTCTGTCATTTTTATTGATACATTATGGGCTTTTAGCCCACTAACAATATTGATAAATACCGTGGCACTGAAACCACTGGTTCCATATTTAGGCACAGTCAACAATACCTCTTGTGAGATGCAAAAGAAAGTGCATATATTTAATGCATATTCTTTTAGAATACAGGAAAAAAAGGCAAGAATCTAGAGGTCAGCAATGTGTTTTGTCCTGTCTCTTGTATAGTCACTTTGATTGAACCTTCTCTAGAGAAACTGCAATTTATGGTACTATATCAAACACAGTACTGTGCATAGGATATCTTTACACCTCCTCTGCACTTCTCGCTACCCTGGAAATACTAGCATTTGTGCTCCATTGTTCAAATAGGTACATATATGTTAAATAGCACAGAGGATTACATTTAGGGGAGTATAGGAATCATTCCTTTTCATCTAAATTCATTTTTTGAACTTACATTAGCAGCTGTGTCTATGGCCAGCACTGGCCCAGGGACTGAACAGCCACAAAGCTTAAGCATGCTCTTCTCTCTCCTGTCATGTCCCATCACAAACTGCTCCATCTCATGGTAATTATTCACATCTAACCTTTTGCCCATGCTGTGACATGACCTGTTGATTTAGATTGTGACCTGTATTTTTTGGAAACCTGTTGTTTCTGGGTCTTATACCTTCTTTTGCACACACTTTTGGCATTCGTAGAATGAAAAATATGATGATAAAAGAAAAAAAGGAAAAATTCTTTAAAAACCAGTGACTAATAATGAAGGTCAAATATATTCTCACATTTGGAGATTGAGGTGGCTGTGCAGAGGTGATACAATGTCAAACAAATTTCTGCTGCTCCTATGTCTTGCTAAGGAGCATGCCTTCAGAAATACTGTGAACGCAAAGCTTCTAGTTGATTGTACTAAATCCCCATGTTGTTAACATAATTCTTATCAGCAAATTGTAGTCTATGAATCAGGGTTTCTGAGGTCCTCCCCCATGAACTTGGAAATAAGATTGCCCCTGAGAATTAAACTCTTAAGTTAATTCCTAATGGATGAGATAAGAGTTGGGCAAATGTATCTGATAAAGCTAACATAGACTGCAACCTAATCAAAGATATTAACAGATCTGAGAAAAGCACGTGGCATTCCAAAAGGGGAGCTGACTAACATGGATTCATAGAAAAAGGAAAGTCAGATGCAAATATGTGCAATCCTAACCCAAATAGTGTTATAGGGAGAGGGAGTCTAGGTCCAAAAACATGGACTGTCATTTCCTGGATGGTGATGTATCCCTGTGGTAAAGATGGATGCAAAAGGCTTTCTTAGCCTGTTGCCAATTAACTGGAGTCTTAAAACTTAATTTATTCTGTGCTGATCCCAATTTCAACAACAGCTTTCAGATTATAATAAGAATTCTCATGTAGCAGAAAGAAATTCACAACTTCAAGGACTTGAGAGTCTGATTCTGTTGGCAGTTGTCTTCTTCACTAGAAGGTAACACGTTGTCACTTATGTTAATATTTTCTTTCTCTTATGAATTTAGCCACTGTAAGTCAGGAAACTCTGCAGGACTGACAGAATCAACTGTCTTAACCTGTCAGTTGAGGGTCGGATCTTGGATCTTGACTCCTTCATCACACGAAAGCCTATTCCAAAGCAGTCAAGCAGCCTGTTGACCTTCCAGAGTGATGCCTCTTTTGCCTTGTAACACTATGGAAACGTCTGCACCACTATTGAGTGCTAATGTAGGAGTAAAATAAAATCATGCCTATTAGCCACTGAACTTCACTTGAACAAAATGCTGCTTTAATTTTCTTATTGAAAAGTATCATGAAAAGCTACTAAATTCATCCACATTCATCTTAAAATTGTCTTCATAAAGCTGAACTATATGCATGGAGTCTGAATTTAGCATCATTAACAATGGTAGTTCTAATGCTCAGTATTCACAGTTGAATTCACAATTAGGTAAGGTCTACCAGGGATTTTTGTCATGGAAGCCTGGAATGATGAATGGCAAATATATGAATGAGGAAGATCTAAAGGGCATCAACATTCATTGAGCATTTTCTGTGTTCCAGACATTACGTCTTTTACAATTGCATGCACCCCTGCTTGTCCCAAACTTTCTGTGAGGATAGCATTGCTACTTCCTACTCTGAGGTTAAAAACGACCTCCCATATGACCCCACAATCCCCTACTGGGAATATACTGTGAAGAACTCAAATCACTCTATAAAAAAGATACCTGCACAGGTATATTTATCACAGCATTGTTCACAATAGCAAGAACCTGGAACCAACCATGCTGTCCAACAAAAGAGGACTGCATTTTTAAAAAGTGGTACATATACACGATGGAATACTACACAGTCATAAAAAAGAACAAAATCATGAATTTCACAGCAACCTGGATGAAACTGGAGTCTATAATACTGAGTGATCTCTCACAGAAACAAAGATCTGAGTATCACATGTTCTTACTCATGTAGTGGACCTTGAACATCTATCATAATACTGTAAGAAAAGGATTGACAGTGGTGGGAAACTATGGGGGGGAGGAGTAGGGAGGTGGGATTAATGGTAGTCAATATCTGTCTGGGGATGGGGAGACACCCCTTATCAACAAGGATGCCTGAACGATGCATATTTGTATACCTAACCCTTAACTGTACCCCACAATTTTAAAATAAAAAATATTGATAAAAAAAACAACAGAGGTGTCAGTAAGTTAAAAAGCTTACCAAATGTAAATAGTAGCAAGGTCAGGATTCTAATCTATAAAGACCAGATGTTTGTCCTGAAAGCCAAAGAAGCAAAATCTACTGACATGTAAATAGGGCTACCTTATAAGACAGTCTAGGGATTTAACGACAGCCAGATATAAAAACAATAATTGAGACCGAGGTTTGACTGAGGGGGGGCGGGGGGGGAGGTGGCAAAACAGGAGACTATCCAAGATCCAAGGACAGCAACAAGCTTTTCTCCTGGAGACACTAGGCATGTTAACAAGGTGTAGTGTTTCTTGGAAACCCCACTCTAGTTTGATCCTCAGGTCTGAAAACTACCATATTCTTGTTACTTGCAAATCCTAACAGTGTGGTACTAACAATCAATACAACATATTAACTGTAAGAGTAATAACTATACTATTAGCAAAACAATCTTTCTAATAAGTAACATCACGGGTTAGATCATTACTTAGAATTCTTTGGTCCATTTCCTGAAAGTAAAGTACACTAGAATGGTCTGATAACATGCTGTTCCCATCTATAATTTATTCTATTTGACCAGAGTTTGGATTTCTTTTTCTCCTTTGCCAGAAGTTGCTATCTAGATTTGTTCAATACTGTTTGTTGATTACCAGGTTTTACCCCATGGTGACCTTTGTCATGAATAAATGAGTCAATGTTGTTAAACACTTGAAATAATATACATTATAGCCATTAAGATTGTTCTAGTCTTTGTGAGTGAAACTAACCAACAGCATCATTTTGCATAGAATTAAGTTCAATTTGTGTCCTTACAAGTAATTGGTTACTTTACAGCCTCAAATTTAGTAACATTCCTGAGTTTTAGGCTCATTTAAATGTCATCAGCACACCTTGTATCTTCTATCGTGAAAAAAAATTCAAGCACTAATTTAAATTTTGAACAACTTAAATCTACACATTTTTTATTAGTTGAGTTTGAGGAAAACCTACAGGAACAAGAGGAACAATAATTCTTTGTGAGTTAACGTTAAAGGTTAGTATAGCACTTTAACTTCCTGCTGCCTTGACCTTGTTGAATGTTAAACAAAGAGTCCCACTTGCCATAATGACAGGTATTTGAAATGGAAACTCTATTTCATTTGTGTAAGGTTTCAGTCTCTGACTTTCAAACCTGAGAAGCTCTCCTAGACTATGTGTGTCTGCCTGACTTCTTGTCTCAGTACTCTGAAGTTTCACCTCTTGTCAATGAAAACTGACGTCAGTGAACTAATTGGCTCTTCTTGTGCGTAGGTACCCTGACATGCCCACCGCTGCTGATGTTGTGAATGCTTTAGATCAACAGGCACTTGCATCCATCCTAAGAACATATGGGGAGGAGAAGCATGCCAAGAAAATCGCTTCAGCAATCGTTCAGGCACGCAGCATCTACCCCATCACCAGAACCCAGCAGCTTGCCAGCATTGTTGCAGGTACCCTCATTAATTTGAAAGTGTCTAAGAGAAAAAGTGTGTGTGTGTGTGTGTGTGTGTGTGTGTGTGTGTGTGTGTGTGTGTGTGTGCACGCGCATGCGCACGCACAGGTGCACACACATAAATGCCCCAAACTCCCAGAGGGATTCCTTTGCACTTGAAATCATGCAGGACAGAATCTAGCCTATCTCTCTAATGTCACCTTTCTTTCGGTTTTGCAAGTTTATCCCCCATCCAACATCTCTCTCAAATACAATTTTTTAAAAATATATTATAATTTTCTGATTAGTATAATAGTTTTTTCTTACACAAGGCAGTTTATCATTTCTGCCTACCAAAGTGAAACCTGGAATGACAAGAGTGAAAGAATTTCTTGATCCATCACAGTGATTGATAAGCACTCTGTGTAAGATCTGACATTCCCTCTCTTAGTTTCACATTCCTGCATTTTAATATTTTGGGCAAAAGGAGAATCGCATTGCCCAACTGCTAAAATAAAATCCAGTGACTCATACATCTATTCTAAACAACCAACTAACAAAGGGTATGTGATGTATAGGTTATTCCACTTTGTGAATACTAACTAAATCAGCCTGAGGGACTTATTGAAGCATTTCATCTTTTCTGCTGTTCACCGCCATAAACCTCTTGAACCTAAGTCTAGCTAGGAGGCACTTTATTATAGCCTTTCTGTTTGAAGCCAAAGTTGTTTCACAGTTGTGTTCTATGATGAAAGTTTTCCAAGGCAAAAATACAACTCTTGCAGTTATTTAACAGAATTCCCATGGTAAATTCTTCCTCTTGCTGGACCATCAGAAACCCTATATTATTTTTGTTTACCAAATTTATTAAGATTTATTTCAATGGTTCCTATTAAGTTACTTTAGTAAAGAAGTTAAAAAAAAAAAGAAAAAGAAAAGGAAATATTTATTTAGGTTATAACCTGATGTTGGCTGCCTCTATCTTAATATACTATTCATAGTTTAAAGAATGAACTTAATTACAAATTCATTCAGATCATTAAGATTTAGAGACCATATAATCATATCATTGTTTTATGATATAATTTAATAAGACTATATTCTACTTAGTTATTATAATAAAATATAATAAGTTGACTAAGCCTTCAATTTTTTAAGTTGCATACCTCAGGGTCCTTCAGACTTACGATTGTGATTTCTTTTAGGCAAGTAAAAGCAGAATTCTTATGTTTTATACCATCATAAAGCATTTTATGCTATCTTTTTCCCCCAAAGAGCTTTATACCAGCATGCTGACATTAAATTCACCCTCTTTCTTGTGTTTCTTTTTCATTAAATTTACTAACATCTCACTCACTAACATGTCTCTACCTTATCCTTTCTGCAATGCTTTAACTGTGGTGTTGTTTTCTGTTACCCATGTCAGAAAGAAAAGCAATGAAAAGTCATATTTTGATTCATAAGAAAATCCAAAATGTTCTGTTTCTGTAAATGAGGGCAGGGCTAGAGAACATACTAGAGATTGTCTAGTCAAAAAAACCTCATCTGTAACTGAGACAATTGAGGCTCAGGAAGAGTCAGTAGTTTGCTCAAGGTTGCAGTCAAATAAGTGACAGAGTTAGTACTAATATAAACTGTGGAAGCTCATGAATTTGAGGCATAATTGGGAATCTACCTTCAAGTTAACTTTTCTGTCTGAGGATCCTAACCTGTAACTTGGAGAAGTAACATTTTGGTATTAGATAGAAATTATATAAAGAATAGGAATGATTTAAGTACTTTTAGAAAGTTATGATGTGAAAAATACATTAGAACTATAACAAGTGATACAGTAATAATGTGAATATTTATATATAGGTAAATAAAGCCCCATTTTAGTAAATGCCATTAAGATATTGAGTTCTTTACAATTAGTCCATTTTTCTGTCTTAAATATTGGCTCATAATCATCTGACTTTATTGATGATATGATTTTGTGGAAAAAGGAAAAACAGAAAAAAATGTGTTTCCACTTTTTGAGCTCTTTTATTTCGAAATATGTTTGAGAGACTGATACACACACAATATATACTATTATCCTAAGCACTAAAAGTGGAATGGGAGTAAATCAGAAATAGCCTCTGTGTTTGTAGACTAATAGTCTGTCTATACAGTCAGTTTGCTGAATATCAACATAGTAGAATAAACCTTTACTTATAGTGAAAACCTCTTTTTTACTTATTGTAGTCTGGAGTTATGACTTGTCAATGGAAAGCTTGACAAACATGAATTACATAAACTACACATATATACATACATACATGCTTGGATTTTAATTGCAGTTCTGCAAAGTAACATTCTTGCATAATCCATACTCTGTTGTGTCCTACATGATCTAGTGATTATTAAAGTGATGTATGTGTCTGTTCATAACTTTTGCCCATTTTATAATGGGATTGTTTGTTTTTTTCTTTTCAGCACATTTGAGTTCCTTATAGATCCAAGATGTTAAGCCTTTGTTAGACCTGAAGTTGGCAAATACTTTTTCCCAGTCTGTGGGCTGTCTCCCTGCTCTCTTGATGGTTTTTTTGGCTTTGCAGACGCTTGTCAGTTTAATGAAGTCCCACTTGTCTATCTTATCTCTTGTGGCCTGTGCATTTTGAGTTTTGTTCAGGAATTGGATGCCAGTTCCAATTTCCATAAGGGTGTGTCTTGTATTTTCTAAGGTTCTTATGGTTTGAGGTTTTACATTTAGGTCTCTGATCCATTTAGAGTTAATTTTTGTGTATAGGGATAGATAGGGGTCTTGTTTGAGTCTTCTGCGTGTGGTTAGCCAGTTTTCCCAGCACTATTTACTGAATAGGTTCTCCTCTCCCTAGTGGTAGGTGGTGGAAGCTTTGTCAAAGATGAGTTGGTTGAGAAATTGAGGTTTTGCTTCTGGAATCTCAATTCTATTCCATTGGTCTACATGCCTGTTCCTGTACCAATACCAAGCTGTTTTGATTGTTATAGCTTTATAGTAAAACTTTAAGTCTAGTAGTGTGATACCTCCTGCTTTGTTTTTTGTTTTGTTTTGTTTTGGTTTTTGCTGAGGATTATTCTGGCTATTCCGAGCAGCCAACAGACACATGAAGAAATGTTCAACCTCACTAATCATCAAGGAGATGCAAATCAAAACCACACTGAGATACCACCTAACTCCAGTCAGAATGGAAATTATCAATAACTCAAAAAATAACAGTTGCTGGAGAGGGTGTAGTGAAAATGGAACACTTCTACACTGTTGGTGGAAGTGCAAACTAGTGCAACCTCTGTGGAAAACAGTGTGGCGATTCCTAAAAGCCCTAAATATCGACCTCCCATATGACCCCACAATCCCCCTACTGGGAATATACCCTAAAGA